AAAAATTTATTTTCTTGATCTATTTTAGGATTTTAGTGTCATAAATATGTGTAACTAAGATAAAGTTGCTTTAACTTAAAAATGATGTGAGTACAATATATCTGATGTAAAGTATATTGGGTCTTACAGACCCAACCCGTACACTTACAGCATTTTTTCCTACCTACGCCACTCACGGGTTAAAGGCAGATGTTTAGATCAGAGTTTCCCAAACTTTTTCAGTATGTGGCACACTTACAGCTTGATTATTTTTTCATACCGTCCCTGTTACAATATTTCTACCATAAAGTTAATTAGGCACAGAAATAAAAACAACATTTTAGTGAAAAAGTGTGTCAATTTTAATTGATAAGAAACCATACAAATAAAAGAAACCTTCAATAACAAGAAAATTAAGCTTTGCATAAACAGAATGTTGCAAAGGGAATGAGGATCCTTAAAGTTGAATATTCAATTTTAATAGAAATCCAAAACCTCTAATTAAACTCTCTTCATCTTGAGAATGAAAAGGATCTTTGATCAACATAAATTTCTCTAATATTCTCTTCAGCAAAGTATTTAGCAAAGTAATATTCTCTTCAGCAAAGTATCAGATTTTAATGAGTTTCCCCACTATCACAAATATTGTCTGCGCAATACAGTTTGCATTACCGTGTTTAATCATATTTTGTTAAACAATTTTTGGCATTTGAATGAAACAGACTTGCTTTAGAACACTGTGTTGTGAAATTTGAAAAAAAATATTGTTATCATTAAGTACAACGTGGCTGAAACGGAATTATCTCGCTACCAGATTAGAACAATTATTTACTTCCAGTTCTGTTACAAAAAGTCAGCTACAGAATTTTCCCAAATCATGCATATAGCTTCAGTAACTGAAAATTCAAAAATAAGGACTATAACATTCAAGAAGCAGAGAGCTCTAGCCATCCTAATGATGTTGATGAGGCCCGCCTGCGAGAACCTGTGGAAGAAGATCAGTATGCATCCACTCGAGAGCTTGCTAAGGAGCTAGACATTAGTGCCATGTGTATTAAGGTGTGTTCAGACATGGGCGTAAAGCGCATAGAGACATAGTCATAAGGGCATAAAATACGGGAGACCTGTTCACACCTGCGAGAACGAGGTGTAAGCAGTGGCCAATGAGAGAAGCTAAATTTGCACATGCTTGGAATGTCTACAACTTTCCTGCGCTGTTCTCCTGCTCAATTGATTTCCCGCGTTCGCTCTGCTTGTTTTTTTCATTGTGTCATGGCTTTTTCAGCTCGCCACAAAGTTTTACTGGCTCAACAGAATGATCTTTTATCTGCCCTTCTCATTAGCCAAGAGACAACGGAAGAAGGTAAAAAACTAAATGAACAAAATGGTCGAGAGAGATTTTTTTGAAAGACCAATACTTGGTTGGCACATATATTTCTCTGCAAAGCAGTATGGAATATTTCTGCATTGTACTGTAGTACTCTCTATACTATAAACATACACATGCATAATTATATATATAAAACAACCTTCTTCAAATTTTATATATAATTTCTCTTAGGAGAAATATGATATTCTAAATATGCCTAATTAAAAAAAATCTTGAGGATAACTAACAGATAGCCTGTATATAATATTTTCCATTTCGCAGGTGTGAAAGCAGTTAAGCTAAAAACAGTACTTACCATAACATATTATTATTATTATTAATTTTCAATCAAAAAGGAACATAATGTTTCTATGACAGTGAAACATGTGTGCTTAGCACTCCTTATTCACTGTCCCTGTCGATCACTTATAGTAGTTTGCTCCACTACTAGTATCAATTATCACTAGTACTAGTATCCCACAAATGGTCACAATAACCAGCAACCACAACTAGTACAATACTAGGAAACGTTCACCCAACAATGTATTTTATGCTCAATCATTAAATACATTTTGCAGTGTTGCCAGCTGTTTGTATACACTTATTTCTAATAATTTGCATGTATAAGCCGCACCCCTGAATTTAATTTCAACATATGCTGTCATTTCTATTTACGACCAATCTCAAAAGTAATTTCACATTGACAAATTTTAGGTACCCAAGTCTTCAAATACATCAAAATTATAAAAGATTCATACCTTATCCAGAAATTTCTACCAGAGAAATAGCATGACTTTAATGATCAAAATTCCATTCAAATGATAGTAATAAAGAGTGGATAATAATAACAAATACTATTCATTAAATTATAGTCCAGGTTAGAATTATGTGTGCTATTTAGTTTCATTAAAGTAAATTCCTTTCATGGAGAAACAGAATTAAAAAAAAAGAAACAGAACTTCAACAGGAGAGAAAAACTGTCTAGACTCTTGACTGTTTTAAGGATACTTCACTACATTTTTTCTTTCTTGGAATTCATAAGAGCATTTTCTCAAAAGATTAATCTTTTATTATTTATACAAAGCTTACACCATTGAATTGACTATTGTGACTATTCTTAAATAAGTGAAAATAATTTTTTTTCTTTTTTTTTAAGTAATATTTTAACTGTTTAAGAAAAACAGCAGATTCTTGATATTGATTTGATGTTTTAGTAAAATTAATTCATGAAGTTTGTTTGGAAAGAAAATCAGCATTTGAAGCAAATAGCAGTACAATATTTCCAGCTTTTTTAATAAATTTATTCTTAAATACAAAAATAATTAAACAGGAAAAAAATATTTAAAATTATAGACAGAAAGAAAGTAATATTAATAATTTACACAGAAAAAATAAAATTTTTGCAAGCATGCATTTTTTAAAGAATTTTCATAATAAAATGAAAAATATTGGATGGGATCAATCACCTACAGGATCATACACAGCATGCATAATCCTGAGCTTAACTTTCGCTTTACGAGTTTCATCTATATTTTTCAATATAAATTGAAAAACTCATTAAAAAATGCATGTCATCATCGTAGATTTCTTGCGAGATCAACCCTTTATTTCGTTCGGATACGATGAACCTTACCATATTAAAAAAAAACTTCGCCTTCGATGTGACAGGGAAATCGCCTAAAGAAAGCCGCTTTGTTTTAGCTTCGCTCTGATTGGTCAACGCTTATCCCAAACTCAGCGTAAAGTTGAAAACTTGGAACCCTATGCCACGAACCTTAAACCAGATTCTGTGACGTAGCAGTGACTGGTTGCCTTGGCAACAGAGGTCGGCTTTAACCACTTATGCCCTTTACGCCCTCGTCTGAACGGGGCCTTAGTTGCACTATGCATCATATAAACTTGATGTACAAGTTCAATCACTGGGTGCCGGATGAGCTGACTCAAGCAGATAAGGACAGACACGTTCAGGCCTGCACTAATCTGCTCGAATATACAATGCAAGAACAAAATTTTTAACTGGATTGTCACTTGTAATGAAAAGTGTATTTACCTTTAACAATACAGGCCAAAAAGGGGCTTGGTCGGCACCCAGTGAGCTCATCAGCACCATCGCAAAGCACAATTCGACTAATAAAAAGATCATGCATTGTATCTGGTGGCATTGCCGAGGTATTATCTACAAAAAGTATCTGGAAACAAAGAAAACCCTCGACAGTAAGATGTACAGCGAGATGCTAGTCCGGGTTGAAGCTGCTATCAAGGAAAAACTTTGAACTTACATTTTTCCTTGATACTGAAATTTTTTCCTCTACTGACATCCTGCCAGTGCAAAAATGTAATGTTCCATCAAGATATGCAAAACCACATGTGTCTGCATTCACTGGCTGGACTCTGTATGGACTCAAATGGGATCTTTTGTCACACCCAACATACAGCCTCGATAATGCTCCTTTGGACTTCTACCTTTTTTCACACCAGCAGCAACGTCTTGCTGGTGCTATCTTTAAGGATTTTCAGATATGGAAGAAGGACAAGGTCAAAAAATTAAACGTGAATGATGAATGAAGGCTTGGATGATCTGATAACATCAGTGGACACTGAAAGCAGTGATAATGAAAAAGATAAAGCACCTTTAATTTAGAGGATGTAAAAAAAAAAAGAGAACACAAATTGTCTGATTTTGCAATGGAAATCAAACCAAACAAAAAGCAGCTGTAGTGTGATAACTATCTTGGAAACATTCACACATGATTGCAGACTTATCTTTTAATGACATTCAAATATCGCCAATTAAAGATTTGCTTTTCCCTAGTTCAGTAAAAGGACACATGCCACTGCAATAACAGCTAGACCAAGAATATTAAACCATGACTGACCAAGAATTATATGGGTGACCTTGTATCTTTCTTTACCCCCTCCTTTTTTTTTTTTTTTTTTCTATTATTTTAACCCACACTAAAATTATCTTTTTAATATATACTCATAAGAATAGGAAGATAACATAGTTTTTATTTTTATATCATACTTTTAACAATTTATTAAATTTTAGAAAACAGTTTCATTCTTATTACCTTTCACTTATTAACTCTCATGCTTTAGGAAATACGTTATGAAACCAGCTTCAGTTGTCACATACTATAAAATATTCTTAACTGTATAAAAATTATTCCTGAAACTTTGGTTATAATGAAACATTTACCATTAATTATTTAGAAATTGCTGGCTTAACCTTTTGAGGCCGGGGCTTTGGTAGCAGTAAAAGCTACCAAAAGACGGGAAATCTTGAACTGAACGCTTTCCCCCCTTTAAGAAATCACCTCCTATTTGCAACAAAGATTCTTGTGTAGTTTAATGGATTCTCAGAGGGGTGCATCTATGTTGCAAAAGGGAGATCTTTGAAAGAGATAAGTGGTTGAAAACCCAGAGACGTCAAATTTGACATTTCACCCCACTTTTCGGCCTGTAAAATGGGGGAAAAAGACATGGCCATTAAAGTGGACAACCCCGTCCATTCAAACAGGGAATACAACTGCCAATATATTGGCCATCCGTATACAAAAGGTTAAATAAAATATGACATTTTAAGCAGTTTATTTTTAAAAACAGGAATATGATATAAATATGTTTTAATTTTCAGCAGAATGACTGTTACCTGTTCCAGCTACATAGTAAAGATTTGAGCTTATCCTAGAAAGAACATCAGCAGATAGCAGTCCGATGAGAGAATATCAGCCCATCACAATTCTGTGCTTTCATACATGATTACTTTCATCTTTTCAGATATTTTTATCTCAAAAAGAAAATTTTTCAATTCTCGACTGCCTGAAAAAAAATTTAAATAATTAATTCACAATTTACTAATTTATAGCTGAAATAAAAATATATTAAAAGAAATTCAAAGCATTATGAAAAAGGCTAAAACGTGTAACATTCTTTAGAAGTATACTCACATCAAAAATGAATTGAATTTTGGTACAATAAAATAAAAGCAATCCTAGTAAATGATTCATACTCCTTTATCTTAAGTTATATTCTTCTTAACTCTCAAATTATAATTCTTATTCAAAAAACTTACAAAACTTCAGATGTGAGCAAAATAATACATTCTTAACTGAAAAATGATAAACAAGCTCTGAAAAATAATCATAAAATGAATCTAACTACTTTACACTTTTGACCAAAGCAGACAAGCATTTATCATATAAACCAAAAGGGGAAAAAAAAAAAAATTAGGAACATTGGATAACAAAATTTAAGTTAAAAAATAATTTTAAAAAAATTATAAATTTAAAATCTACAATATCCAAAACAGAAAACACTTTACAGACAACTCACATTTTTTGTACCTCCAATTTACAAACTAGAGTGGTACCTTTGAATAAGTTGCAAAGGATCCTAGGATGTGTTCGAGATCCTATGATGTATACTGAACAAACTTTTTCAATAAGAAATAAATGGAAACTAATTAATACATTAAATAAAAAAACTATTATAATTATTATATGTTGTTTAATGCTAAAAGAAAAATGATCTGTTGTTTAATACTAAAATACAAATGCAGTGAGTGAAATGTATGCTTACATACGAGGGCAGTCCGATAAGTACTTAGCCTACAAAAGATAGACGAAAATTTTGGAAAAGTGGCAATTTATTTCTCGACATAGTCTCCTTTCAACTCGATACACTTGACCCAGCAATGCTCCAACTTCTTTAACCCGTCTGAAAAATACGTTTTCTGGAGGTCTGCAAAGTAGGTATCCGTGTCGGCAATAACCTCCTCATTCGACTCTAATTTCTCCCGGCGAGTGACTTTTTCAAGTTTGGAAACTAAAAGAAGTCACACGGGGCCAAATCTGGAGAATACGGTGGATGGGGCAGCTGTTCGTAGCCTAATGCAACCAATTTGGCCGCGGCGATGGCGGAGGTGTGAGCTGGTGCGTTGTCATGATGGAAGAGCACTTTTTTCTTTGCCAAATGGGGCATTTTTTCTGCAATTCGAGGTCGAATCGGCCCAATAGTTCTGCATAGTAGAGCCCTGTGACCGTTTTGGCCTTCTCCAGGTAGTCGATGTAGATCACACCTTGTGAATCCCAGAAAACGGTGGCCATCACCTCTTCGGCCGATAGGACAGTCTTCGCCTTCTTCGGAGCACATTCGCCAGGTAAAGTCCACTGTTTCGACTGTTCCTTGGTCTCTGGTGAGTACCCGTGAACCTATGTTTTGTCAACGGTCACGAAACGACGCAGAAACTCCTTTGGATTGCGTTTAAACAGTATCAAACATTGCTCTGAAGTGGTCTCAAGGATGCGCTTGTTGTCGGGAGTGAGCAAACGCGACACCTATCGAGCTGACAGCTTTCTCATGCCCAATATTTCATGCAGGATATGACCCACGCGGTCTTTTGAGATGCCTACTGTCTCAGCTATCTCGCGCACCTTCAATCGGCAGTCTGCCAATGAGATCAAGGACTTTTGTCACGTTATCCTCCGTGGTAGTCGTTTTTGGGGCACCTGGGCATGGCTCATCAAAAACTGTCGTGCGACCACGTTGAAACTCGTTAAACCAATTTTTGACGGTCGCCATTGAAGGAGAAGAGTCACCGTACACAGCATCCAAGCGCTCTTTGATTTCACTGCGCGATTTCCCTTCCAAAAACAAGAATGGAATCACTGACCGATATTGCTCTTTTTCCATTTTCTAAAACCCGCGGACACGCCCGCTTCTACATGCGGTCAAAGCAAAACTGCAAATCCAATATGGCTGAAATTTTGACAGTAGCCATCTACAAGGATGTACTCCTCAAATTAATGAATTAAAAAAAAAAGTCTGTGAAAAAATGCAAAATCACTAGAAAAATTCAGAGTTATAGTGTAGGTTATTTACAAAATAGTAGCAACAGGCAAACTGAAACTCATGAGGAATTGTAGCATTATCTCAAGAAGTAAACAAGTGTAGTGTGCATAGTCATGACTCATCAAACTTGAGTTATATTCCAAACAAATATTATATACCAAAAAAAAAAATTTTTTTTTGCGTCATAACAAGATGTATGCCAAGTTAAACATATTTCAAAGTAGACATATACCAAGGTCTACAGTACAGTGTTAATCCCATTATGTATTCTACAGAACCAATTTCCATACTTTTTTGTAAATTAAAATTAAATTTTATCATTATATAATTATTCATCTCATTTTATTATTTCTTTTTGAACACCAAAAATTAAGGTATGGAAAAACGAGACTTCTCACATTTAAGTGATAAAATTAAATTTCTTAAATCTTTAGATTCTTAAGATGATGAAGAAAGTTGGCCAGAGTTTACCTCCACATTCAAAACGGATATGGTTTTTAGCTATTAAGGTAGTTTAAAATGGATTTATTTTTTGAAAAATGATTGCATTAGCAGATAGAATACTATAGAAATAGTATGTATTAGCATCTAAGCAATAGAGTAAGGAGCATGTACTATACTCCAACAATGAATGCATTAAGAGATCATAGAATGCATTAGCATCTAAGTAATACAGTATAAAGTATGCACTATACTCTAGCAAGGAATTTTTATTTGTATGAAAATTCAGAAGTATATTCTTTCTTTACTTCGAATATTTTGAATTTCTAACTGCATTAAGTAAAAGAGAGGAGCAAGTGCTTTCCAGTGAATGATAAGAAAAGTGTAAAATACGTGGATGCTTATATCTTGAGTAAGACTAAAATTGTCAAAAATTATGAGATGGATCAGCATGGAATTTCACTGACAAACAAAAGTTTTTTTTTTCCCCTTTTTAATTACTAGTAAATGAAACTGAATGCAAAGTGCATTTTTAATGTTATTTCTATACAAGCTATCGGTTTTAAATTTCTTAGCAGTCTGTAAAAGTTAATGAATTTCACAAGCTACTGTACAAGGCTGCTACAAAAGATAATAAAATCAAAAATGACCAAGAGGGTAATTTAATGACAAAATATCATAACGATTTGTCATTTTTCTAAATAATTACTATTTTTCTTATGCATTTCTTCCACTTCTACAGCAAATTCTTGATTCCATCGGAAAAACATTTCTTTGATTTTTACTTAAATCAGTATCATTTCTCAGAATCCCTCAGCTGTTAGATACATTTTAATTTGTCGAATTAGTTTGGACAGTGCAGAACATGCCATAGAGTTCTAAGGCTCAGGTGCGGTGCAAGTTGTGTCAGGCTTCTGGGCTAAAAAGCCTCATCCTGCGTATAATGCCGTAAGACATGGCTTCCTTAACATAACATGGCAAAGTTCTTAAATGAGAATAAATCTCGTGAAAAGCATTGATGAGCCCTGCGCATATACGTATCTTCGAGTCAGTTACTTCCCATGTCTGGAGATATTTCAAGCAATAATGTCATTGCAATGGTCGCAATAGTGCATATCTTAGATGTCCCAGGCTACCTTTATGGCTGCAGGGCAAAGGAGGATGATGGTAGAAGTTCTCCGGTGACTTGGGTGGAGCTACTGGGTCACGTGGTCCAACTGTGTACCTGGAAAATGAGTGCTTAATCTTGCTAATCAAGAATTGGTCAGAGGGCGGGGCAAGTGCAAATTTTACGTATCATAGTAGGTTGATTTAATAACAAGAACAAAATATTAAATATTACAATAAAATATCTGCAGTAAAAAGATCTAGGAGTGAAATAATTTGGCTGGCCTAAACATCTATTGAGATATATATATATATATATATATATATATATATATATATTAACTAAGAGTAAAAAAAAAGGCAAGTTAACTGGGAAAAGTAAAGTGATTCAGGGCTAAAAGAGATCACAATTCTATCTGATGATTCAAACAATAAATTAATTTAAGTGCCGGAGTCTGTTCTGGATCTTTTTCTATTTCCGTCGTCTGCATAGTCATAATTCATACTTGGGATAGAACGGTTATCAACTTTCTCAATATTTCTAAAAAAATTTTCGGCAATTTTGGCTATGCATACATTAATTTTTTCTACATTAAGTTCTTCATATATAGCATTATTTCTAATATACCAGGGGCAATTCGCCATTCTTCTCAGCGTGACATTCTGATTCTGCTGAATTTTTTTCATTTTTGAATCACAAACAAAACCCTAGACCGGGCAGGCGTAAGTTATGATGGGACGTAGCAAGGATTAGTATACATGAATTTTATTTTGAAGAGATAAAACGGAGTTTCGGGCAATTAAGGAGTTGAGTAATGCTTTAGTACCCCGAAACTTACTCAAAGTATATGTTAAGCGTGGGGTCCAAGTGAGTCTTTGGTCTAAAATGACACCAAGGTATTTTACTTGCTTGGCCCAGGGGATGCTGATATCATACATTTTTACCATGATGTCTAGGTCTATGTTTCTTCGGATGATGAAATAGACAGCTTCAGATTTTTCGACGTTGATCTTAATTTTGCATTTAATCATCCAGGACTCTAGTGCATGGATGTGTAGTGTTTGTACGACTGCGACCATAGACGCGTTTTGGTGGAGGATCGCAGTATCATCTGCATATAATGATTGCTAGTGTAGTGAGTGAGTTGTGTGGGATGTCATTCGTATAAATTTAAAATAAGGTAGGCAAAAGCAAGCTTCCTTGTGGCAAGCCAGCAAGAGTTACTTTCCGTGTAGAGTGGATATTATAATGAACGACAAATGTTCTATCACTGAGATAGGAATTAATGAGGTTTGTGATGTAATCTGGGAAACCCAGAGTGATTAATTTACATGTGAGCCTCTGTAACCAAACATAGTCAAAAGCTTTCAAAATATCGATAAAGAGGGCTCCAGTAATGAGTTTATTCTTTAAGCCTTCG